CAGGTGAAAATAGCAGTTAAACTCATATTCCCATCTCCGTTTGCAGACTTTTAGACTCTCTCTTTGACATTGTTCCAACATGTATTTATTGTTTCATTTTCCAGAGGGAGTGGAAAGGCAGAGGTGTTTCACCAAAGACCCCTTTTCAGCCCCACTAATGAGGATGCCCAAGGCTGGATGCTGGCACAAACACACCATCTAGTGGCACTCACAAATGGCTGGGGAAGCAGTGAAGTGCTGGCAAATAAACCACTCACCAATTTAAACAGGGTGCTCAAAGTAATGAAGGACCAACATGACACATGAACCCACTGGAGAGAGAGAAGACAAAGCTCTTTACCCTCCCATGTGACCTCAAAAGCTTGAGACCTGTATATTTTTTAAGAGAAATGAAAATCAAGAGCTGAACCAATGTAAAATTCCTGCATCTATAATTATCTTGAATAATTTTACAACATTATTAGTATTTATTCATGCACAGAATTCCTGTGCCCATTTATTCACAATGTTCATCCTAAACCAGGATATAACTGGAAACTTGAGGCTACATTTTTATGCTTTTCCAGATGCATTACTGTTCTGTTTCACAGCCTCTACTGCCTAGAAGACATTCAGCATTTCATGCATCACAACTTTTCATCCATTGCTCAAAGGCACTAGCACAACACTGAATTTGGTTTTGTCTGCCTTATGATTCCACAGGTACTGTGCAACCAGAACCTCACAAGATACAGTGAAGCTTATAGTAGCTCTACCCTGATGAAAGGGATAGTTTAACTAACATCATTTGTTTCTCTGCAAAGTTGCAGGAACTACTAGTACATGTATGTAGCCACGTATATTCACACAAGTGGTGGGGAAATATATACACCAGGCATTAGACAAGGATAGTCTTTTCTTTACTACACCACTGCCACTATCCCTTCAGACCTTTGCCACTTAATACTGAGAAATCTGTCTTTTCAACCAGAAGTGGTGCTCAAAGATCAGGAAAGAAAATTTATCTTAGCACTCAGAAATCCAGTTTCTAATACACAGTATGATCTTTCAGGATTTAGCCCCATCCACCTCTATTTCCTGTTCTTCAGAAACCAAACATACAAACAAAGCTCTTGCTACATATTTGTAATAACAAAAAGCACAGGCTAATATACTAACCACAATTTCCCTTTCTAGACAGTAAACATTTTTTGGATAAAATTACCAATGATCTGAGTACTGTAGCTGTCAAGACTATGACACAGAAGTCTGCTGGTAAACTATAGTTATAATTAAACACATCCAGAAGAGTTAAAAACTAGAGCTGCTTCAGAAAATTCTGAAAACTTAACAAAAAAAAAAAAAAACCCTTTACAACCAAAATACCCCACCCCCAAATATCACAAACACCTCCCTTCCCCAACTCCTTTAAAAGCCAAAGTTGATTGGGAAGATCATGTACTTACTGAATCACACATAAAGGATAAAACAGTCTTTGAAGGATTTCAGACATACAGAAGAACTTCCAGCTACTAAATCAGCAAAGTCAGTGGATTAATAATGTTAGCTGTTCCCAAATTTAAGTGCAACTGTACCAATTGAAACACTTTTAAATGCTTGATATTCAAACACCTCGAGAGTATCGTGTATCCAGGACCCAAATCCACTAATTAGTTTTGAAAACCTTGGACCAGATGTAACTAGTAATTTCTACTGTGCTCATCATCTCATGTGAGAAGGGATACCTCAGACACTCCATTGCTAGATACCTGAGGTTGTCAGGTCCAATCCTGTGCTGCCTGCGCACTAGAGTTACAGAGTCGTCTGAAAGTTAAAACAGGAAATAACAACCCAAAGAAAGCCACAAAAAAACAACAAAGCCCACTTTGAGTATGACACATCCATTTCTTCCTACATGCAGGATTACACAAGCTGGATAACTCATGATGTAAAATGCTTGCTTAGTTGTAAGCTGCTGTAAATAGCTGTAAATAGAAACTATTTTTTTCTTCTGCCTACCTCAGCTGGCTCCTGGCTGAGGAATGAAGCCAGTGGCTGCCACCACAACATACACTAAGTAGAAATTGGAACAAATTCCTCTATACCCATGTAGAGCCAATGCTGCTGAGTGCCTTGTGAGCCATGGGCACACCTCCTAGCAAACCACTTGGACTGTTTTGTTCAGCCTACAAAATACGCTTAATACGCTCCTCATAATCTCTTATTTTCAAGAAGAACAACAGGGGCAGAAATTATCTTTACTAAAGGACACATAAAAATAACTTTATCTGTGCATTTGGTGGGAGCACACAGAAGACAGCACCCACAGCGTGGAAGGCAGAAAACTCCCCTCACGCAACCCTGTGTGAGAGAGCCAAGTCGTAAAGCAGGCCATTATGAAAGTAAGAAGTTGCCACCACTTACCTGCATCTACTCCCTGCCAGGAAACTGCTGGGGTCACAGGCAACGTGCTCCAAAAGCAACCCCCAGTTCAGGTCTGGTTTCCACTGCACAGACACCTTGGTGAAACCAAGAGCTAGCAGGGACCCACGGGTGCAGACGAGTGAGGGCCCTCAGCCCAGCGAGGGCCCCCCAGGCCCCAACTCGGCCCCTCAGGCACCCCCTCAGCCCCCTCCCGGGGCCCAGCAGTGCCTGCAAAGAAGCTTCTGGGTCTCATTAGCACAGACGAGCTGCAGCTGCATGTGCTGCCAGGTGCTGAGGGGAGGGCACTGCACCCCCCTGCTGAGCCCAGACCTTTGGGTAACATGAGGTTACCTAGGGAAAATTATTAACTGGCCCTTCAGAAACTTTCTCCTCACCAAGAGCAGGTATTCCACATAAAAAAAGGCAAGATAAACCTCCTCAAAAATTCCCCTCATGGGCCCTAGTTTTGCAGTTTATACTGGGCATAAATTGCAGCCTTTACTGCATTCACACAGGAGGGCACAATTAGGATGACCCCCAGACTGGGATGGAGACACCCCACTGAGAGCCTGCAGCCCGCATGTGACAGAAAAACAGTAAAAAGCACCAAGAGCAACAACCAGAAATCCTTATGCACATCATCAACCTCTTGCACCACTTGTTACCTCCCCAAATGAATTTGGATGGATTGAGCACAACTCTTGGCAAAAACGAGGAAAATTGAGATTAGGAAGAAGTATAGGTGTTTGATTTAAACTGAGCCTGGGGAAGGGGGAGGAAAGGCATTCCCCTAAGTGTATGCTTATTTACGTGGGGTTTTTTTCCCAGTATCTGAATCAGTGACCAGTTATACAAACTGGCAATAAATTCAATTATGCAAAAATTCCCCGAGTCAAGACTGTTTTGCTTGCAACAGGGCCACCTAGCACTCAGGGCCACAGCCCACCCCAGGATTTCTAAGGAGATCCATGCACTGGACCTTCACCTGGGAAAGAGAAAATCTGAAAATTCCGTTCTTCATGGGGTCAGGGTGTGATGGAGCCAGAGAGTGAGGGTGCCTGTCCCAGTGGCACTACAGCTAAGGCCACAGAGAAAACCCTGAGCAAATCTTCTCCAAGACTTTCTTTCTTTCTACTGCTAGTTCTGGAGATCTGTCCTGGGTTTGACTATGGGGTTTTTGGTAGCAGGGGAGAGGGATACAGCGGTGGACCCCTGTGAGAAGCTTCTCAAAGCTTCCCTGGCTGCAAGTGGGACCCATCTCTGCACCAAGGCCGAACCAATTTACTGCACCTCTGTGATAACATATTTAAGAAGGGGACCTAACAGGTAGAGCTGCAACATCTACGTGAACACCAAGGTCAGTGGAAGAATGGAGAAAGAAAGAAGGGGCGGAAGGTGTGCTGGAGCAGAGACCCCCCCCGTATCCTGTGGTGAGATGGCAGGGCTGCCCTCCCCCACCACCCATAGAGGACATCGGTGGAGCAGATGCTGACATACAGTCCATGGGAGCCCCCACACCTTCTCAGGTGACAACACTCAAAGGAGGCCACGACCCTGTAAAAAAAAAAAAGCAGCCCCCACTGTTGTAGTTTGGTGCTGGGAGGACAGCAGCATGTGGGGGTGGGCCCATACGGGAGCAGCTAGGGAAACACTGCTGCCCATGGAAGGGACTCAAATTGGAAAAAAGCTGTGGAGGACTGTTTCCTGTGAGAGGGAGACCATGCTGGAGCAGGGGAAAGAAATTCCAGAAGTTTCCCCCTCCCCGAGATGGAAGAAGCAGCAGCACTAACTGCACCTCCATTCTCTACTCCTGTGCTGCTGGGTGGAGGAGGTAGAAGAAACTGGGAGCAAAGCTGAGCCCAGGAAGAGGGAGGGGTGAGGGGAAGGTGTTTTCAAGATGTGGTAATGCTTCTCACTGTCCTACTCTGTCTGTTAAGTGTTGTTGTTGTTGTTAGTGTCTATATTAAATTTATGTTCTTTTCTTTCTCTAACAAGTCTGTCTTTTGCCTGTGACCATAGTGGATGATTCATTCCTCCCTGTCCTATCTTGAATCCCAAGCCTTTACTTATTTTCTCCTTCTCACTGCTTAGGGGCAAGGGAGGAGTGAGCAGCTGCATGGTGCTCAGTTGCCCTCAGAGCTCAAACCATTACAAGATCCGTGTATGAAAGTGCATGCACACACACACATACACACACAAAAGAAAGCAGACACTTTCACCCTTCACAAGTTATGTATGCAATAGAGTAGAAAGAAGATAGTATTAGGGTCCAGGTCCATCTTACTAATGCTGGCTACATCATGCTCTGAAAGCAGGATGGCACAATTAGTTTACACACAAGCAACTAGTTTATGCGTGAAGGTATGATGAATCCATGTATGAGCTAAAAGTTCATGCATAAGCACACAACAGGTTCATGCATGAGGGCAAAGTTAGTTTATGCATGAGCAAACAATTATTTAATACCTGAGTAAACAATTATTTAATACCTGAGCAAACAATTAGTTAATAATGTACGAGCGCACAATAAATTTCACATGTGACTCTGGACATTTTCATTCTTTACACATTACCTACAATGGAATAGGAAGAAGAAATAACAAAGAAGAAATACTGGGTTTATTTGTATTAACACCAGGTATACCATGCCCTGAAGGCAATTTTATTAGAACCAAAATGATTATCCAAGAAAACAGATTGATTTGTTCTTTGTATGCATGCCTCCATTCATTGTTCTAGATTAAAACGGAAGTACTTTAGAAGAAAACAGTTTTTACTCTTTTAAGCTCTAAAGAGTAAGGTCTGCTTTACAGAAAAGACAATTATCAGCTGAAACATCATCAGGGTCAATAACGTGCATATGGTGCTGAGCTGATAAAACAACCTGTGAGAATCACAAAGAAAGTCAGACTTGCAGAAACTCCTCCTATTTTAATAATTTTGTGTGCAGTGGAATTAATGGCAGTGCAGAGGTCAAAATTCAGCAGCTGTAGTTTCACACACATGTATTGTTCACGTGTGCTCTAAACCACAGCAGGGGCATAAAAACTTTGCCAAAACAGAACAGAACCATCTATTATTTAAAATAAAACCCCTAGCAGTGGTTTTTTTTTTCAATTACATACAGACTTACCACCTGCTTCAAAATGCGACAATTCTGATGTACTTGCATTCCACTTCAGGCACTGATTTTATAACCGAAGTTAAAATACAGTTTTTCAAAGTATAGCAAGTGGTTTAGTGTTCAACATTACTAGGAGTTATATGAAAAATGAGACCAAAAGAAAGCAACAAGCAACCTGAAGAATCTAAAACGTACTATATCTTCTAATACGTTGGCATCCTGTAAAAACAACCATAAAGTTGTCACCCTGGCTAAATGTAACCGTATTTCCAGCACTGTTTATACCATATTGCTAAAATTTAAAGATGACATTCAGAATCACTTTGTGAGTATGAGAAAGTATAAAATAACAACTACTAAGTTGCACCTTCTTTCAAAGATCAAGAAAGCGTCAAGATAGTTTTACTTTCTGAAGCCTCAATTCTTAGGAAGTACTATTAATTAAACAAGTCATAAAATATAACATACAAGTGCTGCTCTTGACTTAACAGTATTTGAACTCTTCTCTCCCTTCAACTTAAACCACTGTTCTTACTAGAAGCATATTTTGTCTCTGAACCCTTAATTTCAGGGAAAAGCATAGAAACTACTCCCTCTGGAATCAAGAGGAAAAGACCCTTACATAGTAATTATAAAAAACGTTTATAAAAACCATGTTAACAGTGAACATACGTAAACATATATAATAAACAACATAAAATAACTCTACTGTATGAAAAATCCCATAGATTCACTTTAAATACAAAACCACAAGATTCCCAGCATTACTCCAAAGATCTGTGGATTCTGTGTTTTGCTGTTGTTTGTGTTGTTGCTTAGGTTCTTTTCCACCCCATCCCCCCCCAACCCAAAAAATACATATATTGCTTTTTCACAAACCTTGAAAGACAAGCTCCAAAATGAGTTTAAGGACACTTGAAAACGTAATTCCCCTGCACGAACCAAATTTTGCTTTTCCAAGGACTAGCATCTACAGGACTCGTGGTGTACTTTCAAAACAGAAGATACCCATCCTCTTGCTCAGGTTCTGCAGCCACCCCTCTGCCTTGTCCGAAGGCTCAAACAACTAACCCGAACCCCCCAAATCCAGAGGGCGCAGAACAGAAACACCCCTCACCGCAGGAGGGGAACAAGGTGGCAAACCTCAGTCACTGCAACAGGAGCTTCTCAGACCGATCTTCCACCAGCCGCGCGTTTTTAAGTCGCTTTCTCAGCAATTCCGTCCAGGTGCAAAAGCCCTCCACCCCCCCCACCCCCCAGCAGAAAAGCGCCCGCCCCACGGCAGCGCAATCTCATGGCCGGGGACTTCCCTGAAAGGTGGGGGACAGCGGGGTCCCCAGCTCGCAGGTTCCCCCAAGATCCAAGCCGGCCGGGCACAGAACCCCCCTCGCCCCGGCAAACGGCCAGTGGGGCAACCCCTGCAAAGCGGGGGGGGTCCAGTTCGGGGGCAGCGGCAGGGCCACGCAGGGACGGTGCGGGCAGGCGGCGGGGAGCGGCGGCGGGGGCAGCGGCCAGGGCCGGGCGGCGGCGGCGGGAGGAGGAGGAGGAGGAGAAGGAGGAGGAGGCGGCGGCGGCGGGCGGCGAGGTCGTTGTCGTCGTCGTCGGTAATCCCCCCCCGGGAACATGTCGTGGAAGGCGGGATCCAGCGCCCAGTCGCCGCCGCGGCGGGGGGCGGCGGTGCCGGGGCGGCGGGGCAGCAGGCGGAAGCAGGGGTTGAGGCTGAGGTTGTGGCGGATGCTGTTCTGCCAACCCTTGGGGCCGCCGCGGTAGTAGGGGAAGCGCCCCGCGATGTAGGCGTAGATGCCGCTCAGGGGCAGCCGCTGCTCCGGGCTGGCCCGGATGGCCATGGCGATCAGAGCCACGTAGGAGTAAGGCGGCTTCTGCGGCGCCTCGGCCGCCCCCGGGCTCTCCCCCTCCGCCGCCCCCGCCGGGCGCTCGACGGGGTCCGGCTCCCCCATGGCCCCGCGCTCCCCGCTCCGCTCCCGGCCCCTCTAAGCCCTGTCCCTCCCTCCGCCCCTCTAAACCCTCTCCCCCCCCACTCGCCCCGGGTCGGGCGGTTTGGGGTCGCGGGCGGGTCAGGACGGCGCTTTGACTTCGCCAACCCAAATACACCGAGGGGAGCGAGGGCAAAAGCAAAGGGGCGCCCGGCCCAGCGGGGGGTGGCGGGGGCTGGGGGGAGCGGAGCTGAGGGGCCAGCGCCGGCAAAGCTCGGTGCTGTCGGCGAGGGGCAGCACCAGCAGTAAAACTGGATGGATGGATGGATGGATGGATGGATGGATGGATGGATGGATGGATGGATGGATGGATAGACGGACTCTTACCATTTGGGTGAGATGAGGTGCTCAGCTGCGCGCCTATCTATCACTTCGAGATGCAAAAACAGCCACCCCCGCACCCCCTCTCCACTGTCCCAGCTGGTGCCCCAGCCCTGAGGGGCCAAGGGCAGCCGTGGGCTCAGCCCAACTGTGCAGGTACCAGGGGTGGGAATGGCAGAGGAGTAGAGCCCTGGGCCACAGCAAGCTTCATTTTATCCCCATCGCATTCATGCAAGCACTACAACCCACTAAATGCTTCCAAATACATCTGTTTGTAAAGAATTAATAGTGGGATCATGTCAGTAATTTAATTGAAACACATGTCCTTCTTTGAAAAGTGTTTCTTTGATCACCCTTAATTATTTAAAAAACAAAACAAAACAAAAAAACCCCACCAACAATCCTTAATTTAAAAAAAATCATGACTCACTAGTCTGGAAGGAATCAGTTCCTCGTTTCCAAAAGTTGTATAGAGCTAAGAAACAGAAGGAAAACATTGATGACTATCAGGCTGTTGTTCTCACTTCACAAAAACTACCAAAAGTAGCTTAATAGTGGTGGGTCAAACAGTTCTGTCGTGTCTCGTATTTGAAAAATGCCGTACAGGTCTTTGACTAGAAAACTTTCACAGCGCCAGATGGAAATATTTAAATTATTGAGAATGAAACATCCCTACTGGTTATAACAAATCTGCCAACAGCAGAGAAAGAAGTTCTTTGATGGGGCACAGGAAGACTCACCTGTATGACCACAGGTTAGTTCTTTTTCTGCTAGCCCTGTGTAATGGAAAAGAAAGTAAACATAACACCACTGCTGAAAATAAAAACAGACTGCAGAACCAAACAGTGAAAGAAAAAGAAGAGAGAGGAAGGGTGTCTGAGAAGTGCATCCCCTCCTTCACAGCAATACAAGGCAAGACAGAATACATTGCCAGGTCTTAAAAAAATTAGCAGCACATTTTAACGAAACACGAGTCATGAAAGTATAAATGGAGGAAAACTTCAGCCTCTGAAGCTTGTGCTCATAAAGCCTATGTCTAAAAGCTTATGCTACTTGTCTCTTCATTTACACTACAAAATAAAAACATAAAGACTATAATACATAAAAGCAAAATCTTGGGAAGACTCTCGGCACCCATCTCAGACGAAAAAAATCCCTTAAGTGTGAAATGAGCACAAATTTTAAGGTGCGCATACAACTGAACGGCGCTGACGCTCTGTGACTGGGCGTATTTTGGGACGAATTCTGGGGCTTCACTGAAAATCCCCTTACATGTGGCCCATCCTTACCCACATAAATCATCCTCCTGGCTTTCCAGCTGACAGATGCACGTCTGGAAGATGACTGGATCAGGACCAAAGCACCTGCATTCAGTACCTCCCTTACACCCCTCCTCCTCGCCTACCAAAGTACTGAAAATCCAGACAAAACAAAATAGTGTGGGCATTACCATGTGACCCTACGGTGTCAGCTGAGGTCAGGGTTCTGAGGAAACAGGTACTTAAATGACAGTCCCTATCCTACAGGAGCTGAAGACAGCAGGGTCCCCACAGGGGTGCGGCGGCACCCAGGGAGAAGTTCAGAACATCAGTTAATGGCAGGAGGTGACTTCCCTTTTAACTGATGGAAAGCCTTCAAAGCATTAACAGTGTACTTTTCCGCTTCCACCTCTATCTCCAGATCATGGTCATCAGCTTCTCCTTGCTTTGGGGAAGCTCAAAGAACTTTGTGCTTTCTCTTCATTCTTGTTAGCTTTAAAAGAGTGAAGAGATCAAATCTGACCAGACACACACACGAGCACAAATACTGTCTCCCTTTCCCCCCAAAATACTCAGTTCCCCAAGAAACAGAATCACACTAGGGTGAAAACTTAGCCGTTTTAATTTTTTTAAAGAAAAATATTCTTCTTTAAACACAAAGCATGAACTAAAAACCTCTGAAGAACAACTTCTCCTCCCTTGGAGAACATTTAACCAAACTGTACAGTGTTAGAGCTCCCCAGACAAGTATACATATATGACATACAGTATTTCACAGGAAATAAGGTTTAGGACTCAAAATTGCCCTCCTCACCCTCTCCAGATACCCACTTCATCCAAAAGTACTCTGTCCCTTACTCCCACCACAGGACACAGTGATGATCATTTCTGGATGCAACATGTATTTAATAGAAAAAAAAAAAAAGTATTGGCCAAATTGGCCCTTTCTAGTCTTCTAACAAATGTCTCTCAGGGAGGTTAAGACCATAGTTATTTCCAGGAATGGTGCATGGAAGAGAAAATATAGCAGCATCCACAGGCAGTGCAAGCCGTTGATTCCAGCTGCTCCATTTTAAGGAACCCAGTCAGTTCATCAGTGTTCTACAGATGTTCCCATCACCCAAAAAGGAGTGGGAATAAAACATTCACAGGCCAAATTTTTTGCTTGAGCAGACAGCCTAAAATTCAGTGAATCTGGCCTACATATGCCAGCAATGAGGTTTTTTTCACATTGACACAGTGACCAATTTCATGTCTTAAAATTTTATGTAAAAAGATACGACCTTCTGAAATCAGCAATTCGTTCTACCAATTCTCTCTATCCCATCAAACAGATATGTACATAATCTTTGTCACCTCTGCCACACTACCCAGACTGCAGAACTGGAACCAGACTCTAGAATCCAAATTCTTCCTAATTCGGAACAGCAAAATAATCAAAAGTCTCTACAAGGTCTCAGAATATGCTTAACAAGCCCATATCTGAAGAAAAAGTACCTGGGCATTTCAAGGGAAGGTAGGTAATGGAAAAGGTCTGGAAATTAAGTTCATTTATATCCCATCTGATCATTAATTGTTGGTATTATTAGGTAATGCTCAAGTCTTTATCAGACCATTTTGTAATGATCTTTTCCATTCCATACACTCCAACAGTTTTTACAGTAGGAAAAACATTAAAAAAATAAAATTTCACCCCTGAATAACACTGTATGAAGATCAACATCATCAGTCACAAAGATTTTCACAGGGGGACCAGATACTCTTTTGTTTCCTCCAAACCAGCCTCATATAGAAAACGTCAGCAAGATAGACACAGTATCTAAGAGCTAGATTAAGGCCAACAATATAAAGACAAACATGGGCTCAGATCTTTTAAAATGAAGAAACCCTCCAAATGTTTTTATATATATGCATGCACACCCACATCCACACCCCCGTGTACTCGTGTGTACTATTCAAGCGAAGGCTTCACAACCATGACAGCACCACTGGAGAGTGTTCTAGCACCAGAATGAAAAAGTTGGTTGTCTTCCCTCTTCAGCAATAAAATCCAGAGTCTTTAAATTGCTTTGGACAAGGTCACCAAACACCCTTCCAAGAACAGTTTCAGGGAGTAGATTCAGAAGTGCAGTGACATGTTAAAGTGTTCCTGTTCTGGAATACGGGCAAGAAGAAGTGTGTTGAGAGGCTGCAGCTCCTTGGTTGCTGGAAAGGAGGAGGAAACTTGTATTGCAATCTGGTAGAGACAGAGACCAACTTGGACTCCAGGTGAGTGTGATGGTAAAACTCAGTGCAGACTGGGAGGTGAAAGTGGAAAGTTTGCATACGTGAAGTCACAGTGCACATCTGTTGGCATAATAAAGACAAGCAAACCCCCAGTATTCTCTGGCAGGCTTGTCTCTGCATAGGAGGCTCCTGGGTATGCTGGAAGTCAGGACAAGGATCCACAAATGGGATGTCACACACTGTACCAGGACATCGTCAAATTCAAACAGCAGAGGTCTAAATAGAAGCTTGCAAGTTGGTCTACTAACATCTCGCCTACGCACATGCTTAAGTGAGCCTGAAGAAATCTATAAAAGGGACAAAAATCTCTTAACAGCAAGGTTATGGGTCCGATTCAGCTGCAAGTAACAATTCGTGCAAGTTACAAAAGAATTAATCCTCAACCTGCAGCCCATCTTTCTGCTGCAGGTCTCTATCCCGGACCTAGGCCTTTGTACAGGAGGTGCCTTGCCAATGCTCTAGAAAGGCTGAGACAAAGATGCAGCCTCAGGAGTGACATCTCCACAGCCTTTCACATCAGCACATGTGGGCAGAGCTCTGTCCCCTGCCGGTAAGATGCAGAGTAGGCAATGAGCAGGCCTCACTACAAGGGAGGATGGGGAGCAGCGGCTGGGAGCGGGCTGCTAAAACAACGCAGGAAGAAATGGAAGATGCAAAGGGAGACTTAATTTCCCATGCTTACATCACCTGCAATAAAGCCCCATTTAATCTGTCAGATAGCATTCTGATTAGAGTCTGACTATTCCTCACATGATGAGGCTGTGAGTGGAACTCAATTAAAACATGCAACGAAAAAAAAAAAAAGGAAGGGTGATGGTCACTCCGAGGTGGGAATTTTAGGTTCAAAGCAGGGAATTATCAGAGGAGACACACTTCGTTTCGGTGCACATGCAAGAGTACAGTAGAGGGAACATCAGCAGAACTGAAAGGGAGGAAAAGACACAGTAAGCGTAACACTAATTCAAGATGCAAACACAAGACAATGGGGTGAGGGAAGAGGAAAGAGAAATTAAGTTTGAGGTAATGGAGTCCAAAGAAAGAAACAATAGGAAAACTCGAACAGAGTCAGTCCTGCTTCAGGAAATACACAGCTAATGTCAGTTGGCTCTCTTTTCAGCAGGTATCCTTGACATATTGGTAAATCTTGTCTCTGCACTTGGGATTTAAGAATCAAAATATAAAGACCAAGGATTTTTTTTTTCCCCTAAGATGTACTAAATGATATTGAGTATTCAGTACAAGACTCTTAACTGGCACCTGAATTCTAAGTAATGCTGAAGACACACCCAAAAGCAGAAGTACCCAAATTATCTACTGCTTTTGAAAACCCAGGGCTACTTCCATTGGGTTAGAAAAGAAAAATCTATCCAAAAGGCTGAATTGTCCAGAAGCAGGTTTGGCATTTCTCACTGAGAATACCTTTGTTGCAGTTACCTTAATAAAATAGTTTGAATCCTAGAATATTATTTTGATTTTAGTTTAAAAATATGATTTTGTTTTAACATGAAGCTACAGTAGCTCTGAGAACATAAAGTACACTAAGGCCCTTAGGATTAAGCAACTAGTATGCTGTGTACTTTGAACATTATAAGAATCGTCATGGACTCTGAATTAACGTAATGGGTACTGGTTATGGATCTTGACTTGAAACAATAGGTACCTGAGGAAAACTGGTTTGGTTGGAAAGATTGGGCAAGGGAGAGGTGAACATTAACCAAAGGTGGAATGAGCATGCGCAAGGATGGAGTTCAATCAGCAGACACAGTGATGAAGACTATCAACGACCAACAGAGACCCCCATCCAGCATAACCATGCATGCGTTGGAGACATTTGCATATGATAATAATCTCCAAGAAATAACATGAATATGCTAATCATTGCCCTCCCCCCATTCTATTTAAATCAATTAGTGAGGATGACCAATGATTTCTGCAGAATAGGAATATAGGTAGGGAGAGGTAACTAAAAGCCAATCATTATAAAGGTCAGCTTAAACGTTATGGAATTATTGATCTTATGTAACTATGACTCTGTTGAAAAAGTGTATAAATATGTTGTGCTTTGTACCTATCGACGAACATGTCTTTGGCGGAGTTATCCCCCGTGTTCCCCAGCGCTGGAATAAAGAAGTGCCTGCTTATCTGCTTTGTGTAGATAAGTTCTATTCTTGATTGTGACCGCTAACACCTTGGCATTTAACTAAGAAATACCTTAAATGGTTACTTAGTAAATCCTGATATCACACTGAGGCATCAGGTTTCTGAAGAAATGTATACAATCAAGACAGCTCCTCACACATCTCCTAATAGAACAGATTTGTGCGATTTGCAGCAAGAACTCAGTGAAAACACCAGCAGTCAGAGTTGTGAGCTGAAGTCTTTTGACTATGGTTCAAAAGACATAGGGATCCTTTCTTGTTGCAGAATTAATTGTAACAGAATTAATGCCTCCTGGGTAAAGCAAAGTGCAGGCTTCCTCTTTCTAATGCAAATCACAAAAGCAAGTCTGTCTGGGGTTTGTGCATACCTACAGCAACAGTGCTGGTTGGAGGTAAGTACAGACAGTTTCTGGGAACCAGCAAGACCAGAATGACAACTGGTGAAAGTGGCCTCAGGGCACATCCCAGGTGGAAGCATGTGGACATAAAAGATGTAAGAATGACAGAGCAGCCAAGGTCACCCAAGTGCTTAGGCAAGCTTAAGGCAACTAAAGAAAATTCACTGATAATTTAGAGGAGGGTGCCAAAGGGAAGAGAGAAGAGGAATCACAGGGCAAAGAGGCTGGGAATGCTGTTACAGTAGCCAAAGCCCAGCACCAGCTACTAAGCCATCCCTCTTCCCTGCTCTTTTGTTCTAATTCTCCTCATTTTATCAGCACCATCAGCATGAGGTTAGTATGTCAGAAAGAAGAGCTGGGGATAGGTTCCCAAAAACGTAGCTTACACATCTTCAGGCTTGTGTCTCAGGTCAGTTCCTTTGAAAGAAAGTGCGTGGGACATTTGACTGCCCTCTTGCTTCAAACTGGAGCTTTCCAGGAATTCTGCCTGCCACCTCCAGTGACAATCCTGCAATATGTTCTACCTGGAAGTGATGGCAGCAGCTACCTGGGTTCCTTGTCATGACAGTTGAGCATATGGTAGTTTTTTAGAAAACAGCATGCACCAGTGGCACGGCCATTAGACACGAAGCCATGGTTGAATTCTTCTTATCTCCTCAGATGCAGGTGGAACCAGAAAGAAAGGAGTGTTGGCACAAATCAACGCAGGCTCCGGTAGACATAGGCTGATGTGAAGATAGCATTGAGAGTCAGACTCACAGCTAGCAGGCCTCGGAGAACGGAGTTACCAAAATGACCTTAGTAGAAGAGGACAACACAAAGGAAAAAAAGGGAATAGTAGTAAGAGATATTAAAGAATTGATGAGATAAAAAACAGTGAACATATGTTGTGCTCTCTTTCTCTCTCTTTGCCCAACGTTTTCACCAGGAGCAGAAATTGCTGAAGCACTTCTCCTCTCAGGAAAGATTCCACTGCCCTCTTTGGTTCCATTTTCACCTCATTGCCCTTCTTAACGCTCACATCCCCACCCCTTTCCTTCTGTCTCAGTTTAGCATACTGTCCAGTGTTCCTCAGACAGCCCAATGAATGGGAATGACCTTATTAAGGGCTTAGAATAGCAAGGAGAAGATCCATTTTGCTACTACTTATTTATTTATCTCAAGTCCAGATCACTACTACAGCACAGGAAAGATCTCAGTTACCCTCACAGAAATGCTCACATATACATACAAAGCATTCACATGACTTGCACTTACCTCTCCAGCCTGCCAAATCCTCCCCTTTGGTAGTTGTGTCTACCACACAGGTAGATGAATGTGATGAGTGATTCTCCTTTTTGATGGAATTACTACTGCAAAGACTCCCTCCTTCCATAGCAGATCTCCTATCTGCAAGGAGAAAAAGACATGAAAATTCAGAAGGCACCAGTAGTACAAGCCAGAAGTAGAAGTTACCAGACTAAAGCTAGACATGAGCAATGCATGGTTGCCTGGTAAATCATGAAAGGATTGAGGACAGGAGCTGGAAACAAAAGGCAAATTTCACTGCTGTGCAGAAGAAGTTGCCTGCATGTTTGTCTCATACACTGTCCGTTATCAGCGTCACCACATCCATGGTTAAAGGAGTTACCCAAACAAGGGTGAAGGCAGTGGCAGTAGTATCCCCAGAACACCAGTAAGTGCAAAAAAGACATTGTTTTGGCTGGCAAGAAGCTCTCCAGGCCAGTGGATTCTTAAGGGAGCTTTGGTAGCCCACCAGTAATCACCATCTGGGCTTTTCCTGAAGGTTTCCCATCTATTGCGTGGCCTAGATGATGCATGGCTTTGCTTGCAAGCCAACTTTCCTACAAAGGCACTTCCGAGTGCAGCAGGCTGCCAGCATACCATGCACTCCCCGCTCGCTGAGGTTCTTTTTTGGCAAGGACAACTCGGTGGCAAAGATGTTGCTGTCTGAGTGGGTGTGCTCCTCTGAGCTAGTCGGGGTGAGCAGAGCCTCATTCTGCGATGGGAAAAGCAGCAGCTTCTGTCCTTTCAGGTTCAGACGGGCAGGGCTGATGAGTGGCCGGCGGTACCGCAAGGAACTGGAGCTGGAAGTCACAGAGCCAGCCACCGATGGTGCTGGAGAGGGGATGCGGGAGGGAGCACAGCTGCCTGACAGCAGGGAGAAGTGCTCTGAAATGGAAACATGCCCAAAGAGAAAATAATGAGATTATAATCCCAAAACAACAGGCACGGTTTACTTTAACAATTCTACAAGAAAAGGGAATGGGAGTTGCAAACGTCCAACATATCTCATACTACAATTCTTTATTCATTCCAGTTCCCACACTGCAAAACGTGCAGAAATTCCACATGCACTTTGGTACACTCAAGAAGGACTTGGACTAGAGATGGGTTTATCAGGAGCTGGGTGAGCTTTCTCTCTGCTCAGTTGTGTCCATTCAGGACAGCCTGTGTTACACATGCGATTCTGCAGGTAAATTAACTGTTCTGGCATGTGCTTTAAAGGCTGTTGGGGAAGTGTATGGGGATGTAAGGAGGTTTGCACAATGGCACCAGCCCAGGCTGTGACTGCATTTCCAGCAGCAAACACTTACACAGCACAAACAGCCAAATCATCCATTTGGGGTCAGGATGGCAACAGACAGGTCACTGAAGGACACGGGAGCAAAAGGGCAGAGCAGACAGGGTAGCCAAATCAGCAGCTCCTTGGGCTGGGAAAGTGAAACAAAAGAGCTGCCCGAGGAACAGTTTAAAATCTCCTATCAAAGCAATCTCAACTCAGCTGTAAGAGCAGGGAAGGGCTCCTTGCTTTGTCTCACCGATTTCACTGTGAGCTCTCCCTAGGAAAAGGACACCCAACGCATACAGCATGTTATTTTAATGCAATCCCACTCTTCACTGGAACTCTCTCTGCAGCATTTCTAACAGCAAAACTGACATTTTCACTGAGATGTGAGCAGGGAAGAAAGAATTAAACTTGGATCATGTGTTTCAACCCACTCACTGCAAATCCTGCAGACAGTTGCTCCGGAAGACCTGGTGCATTACCTGATGTAGGAGATTCCTTGGACTGAGATGACTGCGAGGCTGGTCGACTTCCACTGAACAAGTAGCCAGAATCTAAAAAGCAAAAATCAAACAGTTTGAACCCAGCTGGCTCAGCTACTGGAGGTCTATCCTTCAGAAATGTAACTGCATCATCCAGTAATCAATCTCAGAAGGGGACAGGTGGTAAATGCAGCAGGAAAAATGTCCCTGTTTTCCTGGACAGGCTATAGGCCAGCATAAAAAAAATCCACTTTTCCCAGATGCATCAGAATAGATCTGTCCAGCAGGCTTCAAAAACAGAGTAAGAAACCCTCTCCCAAAATATCTGAAACAAAGTCTGAATTTCTTTAGTGGCCCTTTCTTTCCCTACTCTATCTGGGTCCAGAAGGCTCTGCAGGTTCAGAACACCACTGCTGCTCTGATCTGCTGTTAAGCCTTAGGAGCTCAGGATATCTGACACAGCCCACCAGGACCTTCATCCTGCTCTGAGCTGCTCTTTGCCTTCAAAGGACAGTGAAAGCTGCTGTTCCAATAAAGACTTAAGGAGAAGCTATGAAAAAGCAAAAGGAAAAAAAAAGAACTAAGCTTGCAGGAAGACTTACAGGTCAACTGACACTTGAAATTATTCTGTCCAATAGTGCAGACACAGTTGTGTTCACTGGGCACCACTCTGGGAGACTTCAGCTTCAAAACCACACCTATTCTTAAGAAACCCTTTCCTCTGATTTCAAATAATAGCAGATTACCTCTAGCTTTTAAAACAAGTGCACACAAAACTACCCTGCTGGTTCACTAATGTGTGCAACTGCTCCTCTCCAGTGCCAGGCTAAAAGACAAATGTTTACAAGCAGGAGATTTGCAAATTGTCTAACTGCCAGCAGAAACCAAGACCTGGAGGCCATAGCCAGGCTGGCTACTGTATATCTAGCACTGCCTTATGCCTCTGTGCCAGTGGACTCTGTCACTGTAGAACTGGATTATATTAATTTATCTAATGATGCACGAGAGTAGATGATGAGTATGACGTGACTTAGTTGCTGTGAAGGTAGCAACAGAAGGATGGAGCAGCTTCCAAAGGTGGTAACTTCTTCACCTGCTCCCAGCAAAGCTGCAAGACAATTTCTAAATACAGCATCAAGTTCAAATTATCTACCTTGTGACAGCATCACAGACTGGCTTGCCTCTACTTTAAGAGGAAGAAAGTGAAGGTATGGTTGTATCATTTTCTCATGAAAATAGCCTTAAGGGTAGATAATAGGGCAAGATGAATTGCTATCTAGCTGTCAGGCATGGTAGCCATAATAATGCAGCAGGGGAAAAAAAGCAATTAAAAAAAAAATCAATGAAAAGTACTGAAGTCAGAAAAAAGAAGTGCTAGAAATGAAACCTCAGAGTTTAAATCAATTCTTTTTCTTAGGCACTTGATTTACATAATTACAGGCAAACAGCTTTGAAAGCTGAAAACCTTCCTGATGGCAAAAAACATTCAGCCCTGACAGCATGCTCTCTCCAGTCTGTCTAGCTTTGCACCTTACTGAAACAAAGCACAGACCTCACAAGGGTGGTTTAGCATGCCGGGGCAATCCCAGCCGCCAGCTGCCTCTGCCCTTGCCCTTCCAGTGGCAGTCTGGTAACCAGAAAGGTGAAGGCTGTGCCAAAAGCTGCCATGCTGCTGGAAGGTTTGCATGGTTGGTCTTTCCTTTGCTCTTCGGGGAGCTGGCAAAACTGCTGCAGCGTGAGCTAGAAAAGTGTTGAATAAACTGAAAAATCCCTGCAAGACTGCTCTCTCTGCTGGGATGTTATCCTAGGAACTGCCACATTTTGGCCTCTGACCTTCTGGTCATCAGTTAGTGATACGGAAAGCTTAGCTTTCTTTGGATGGAAAATAGCATTTGAATGCTATTTCCCATCTGTTAGATTCAAGCACAGGAAAACTGAGGGCTTATTGAGTTACTGGGAGAGTCTTTCTTTAGCCCTATAAATCTTCCCTAGATCACACAGAGCCCTTAAAAACAAGAGGACACGGGGTCTTTACAGCAACTTAACCAACTGTGCTAATGCAGATCAAATCCAGACTTAGGGAAGAGCTTGCCTTCAGCTCTGCTCCCTTCAGCTGTAGTGAGAAAAACAAAGTACAAAAAGCAGCTAGAAGGAAGGGAGTGATCGCTCTTCCCAGATCAGTTATCCTCATGTTTCCAATCACTTCCAAAAGCTGCTCTTCTCCATTCCCATGTCTCACTGCTCCTTCTGTCTCTCTCCCACACACAGCCTGGTAGCTTGTGCCATACTGCCACAAATGCCTGGAGAAGCCTCTGGATTTCAGTAAATCCATAGCAGGCAAGCACTTGGTGAGACTATCTGTTTCACCAAGATGGCAATGGTATGCTGTGTACTTTCTTAATGCCAAAAAACAACTGACTAATGCTGGATACTCCTCTGTGCCACAAGAGCAGCAGTCCCTAAAGACAACTGTAACACATGGATAACTCACAGCCCATCCCCTTCTGCAGCACTGTAACGTTCCATTGTCATTGCCACTGGGGCAGAAAGTTTCTTGCGCACTTACCTGCTCTGGCCAAGGAGGGGATGGTACCCAGTGAGAGTGCCCTGTTGAGACGACCAGGAAGAGAGGAAGAAGAAGTTCTGCGTGGGGATCTGAAGAGCTGTTGGTTTGTCAGCTGGAGAATACTGGGTGGTGTCGGGACAAAGAGAGATGTAGCAGAGGAAGGGAAGCCGGTCCCAGTGCCACTGGGAAAGAGAGTAATCAAATCCCCAGAAAGGTACCTGCAAATGACACGCAGACATTTAGCAATGAGTACATTCCAGTAACTCTATTTTCTTTGCTATCAGGTTTATACTAATTTTTCAGTTCAGGAGTGCAAGATGCAGAATGAGTAAGAGTTTACAAGAATGCTCCTACAACTTTGAAACTGGGGGAGGAAGAACTGCTCAACCATATTTAAATTACTGTGCACCAACCTGTCCCACAATACGGTGCGGAAAAAATGGTGGAACAGCTTAGGAACTTAGGTGCAAATAGGCATAGTGCCTCAGTTCTCTCCCTGGATGAGAAAATTACCAAGAGACCACCAGATGCTTTACAAAGTTCAGATACACATAGGGTCAACAGTACAGTACAATTTACGTTCATTATGTGCACATGCAAACAACATGCTTAGAAATGTCATGACTGTGGGAAGCAAGTAGTTATCTACGAGTCTTTTTGCCTTCGGAAACCAGAATCAACATCTCACCTCTAACGCCAATATAGAGAAAAGTATTTTTATGGGTACCTTGATAAATATTTAGGCACACGAGCTCTGTTTTAAAACTAACATTCCAATCTCTTTAAGACATTTGCCGTTATTATACTTCTGTGAGGTAATGAAGACTCACTACTCTCATTTTACAGATGGGAAAGAGAAACAAAAAGAAACTTAGTGACTTGTCGAGGGCCACGTAAAAATCCTATGATAGAACAAAGACACAAACCTGGGTTTTCCAATCCTAATTTGAGGCCAAAACCATTACATTTTCCTTTTTCTGCATATCATCATTAGCCACAAATATGTACTAGCATAGTTATTCAGAGGGAACTGTGCTCCTGTAGCACAGACTCCAGGAAGTGTCTTGCTTCTAGTGCATAAAAAACAATCTCTATTACAGTGCCTGGAAAAAATTTAAATTGGCAATAAAAATGGCAATTGTATTTCTAGGCCTGCAAGTTGTTTTCAGTGGGTTCTTTTCCAAGTGAAAGAGGGGAGTTGAGAACAGTGTGTCCAGCTTGAGAACACAAGATGAGAGGTAACTGACAAAACATACTAAGGGTACCTGAACCAGTTAGCTTGATTTTTAAGTACGACAGATGTAAACTAACTTCTATTCCAGTAGTAAATTAACTGTATAAGAGAACTTTGTATTTTAAGCAGTTTTTGCAGCTAGCACTGCCACAGTATTTCACATTCAATTATTACATGCAAATAAACTATGCAATTAATTTCTGATACCCCCATTTTATCACCTAATTTTGCAGTCATTTAAAATTTAAAAACCAACCGAAGCTGAACAATCTGTCAAAAATTTACTCCTATTTTTACCTTCTTTCTATTCCTCCTTGCAATCACATACTGATCTTAGTCTATGTGTACAGTTTAATTGACTGCATTGCATCAGAAATGAGGAGTTAGCTTTGGAGTCTCACTTGCATCCTCGTACCATCAAAATGAGCATCCTAAGAGGGTTGCAAAGTTGAAAGTATAGGAGTTTTGTATTCTTTTTAACACTTAAATAAAATACATGAAAGAAAGTCTACAATATGTACAAGATCTCTCAAGGATCTCCTGTAAGATTTTTGTTTCATTAGAAACAGGTAATACTCTTGTTAAATAAGTCATAATGAAGTACCAAGTATTGAGTACATATATTTTAAAATGAAGATATCAGACTTGGCAGCGTATAACCAAGCTGCAACATTTGGAGGTTTAATCTCACTTCTGATGAAAACAGACAGATGAGAGCAGCAACACGGCTTTTCTTCTGTCAGAGGAAAGCCAGGAGTAAATCAGAGCATGAAGGAATATACGTATCTCAATTTTGTGAGGTGATTTATGCACGTGCCATTCTCTCTTGGAGATTAAAGAGGTGACGCAGCAATATTATGCAGTGCTAGCATGTCCAGAAGAAGCAGTCTAGAGTTAAGATTACAATTTAAAATATCTTATAAAACTACTTATCTGCTAGTACGAGGCAGACATCAACAATCCCGACCAGCTCAATCAGGCTGAACAACATCTGAGCCAACCAGCTTCCTGGTGCTTGCAAGCAGGACATGCCTTTAACAGCGGCAAGGAACTCGTCAGTCTTGCAGCAGAAACTGCCCAACCTCTTCAGGTTCCAGAGGACCTGGGAAGGGTGTCATGCTTCGCAAACGTGCAGAGTCCTTTAGTGCACATACACACACACATTTGCCCCACCACACATACAGATGTACATGTCCATCTCAGCTTTGTAAGAGAAAATGAACGGGAAAGGAAATTAGAAGTGCAGCTCAGGACTACGATATGAATCATATCAGAAAGAGTGATACCTACCACTCACTGTGCCATGTCTGTGAAGGGCCAAATCAGGGCATCACCTGTGAACAACACAGCTTTTTTCCTAACTTTGCACCTTCTCTGTCTTTGGGTTAAAGGATCCAACTTTACACAGCTCCTTGACGCAGCAGAGAACAGCTTATCTGGGCTTACTGGCTTTTGGCAGTTTTTCACTCAGAGGGCTGGAAGATATCACAACCATTTATCACTCATAACCACACTCTCCTTCCTGAGATTGTAACTTTTTTGGATCGGACTTCCATGGGCTCTGCTGCTCAACAACCCTACTTCTCAACCTCAGCAAATTAGTGCAGTCAGGTCTCCTGGGCAGCTGATGAACCATTTGTCTTGCACTACGCAGAAAGGGAATTCTTCTGGGTAGCAAAAAAGAGCTGAAGAGTTTTAAGCACAGCCTATCAATGCCTTAGGAATGAGTGCTGACCAAAGAACAGCTTATATATTGATTTGCTCTGAACAAAGTAAATTCCTGAAACATGTGCAAAATCCTGCTTCTTTTCTATGCGCTCTTCTCTGCAGTGTTTGCCACTATCATGACAAGAGGGCTACCTGCTGCTAAAAAGCAGGGGTGGTGCCATGGGAATGCGCTTTAAGTCTGAGAACGGTCAGTTGAACTACAACTTCTTTTAGAAGCAGATCACAAAAAAGGTGGAGATCAAGAGGATCATAAGGCGGGAAGCAACCACATCACAGCCTTGGAATGGAGCAGTGCAGCTGTGCCTTTGCTCTCAAGACTACTGCACTGCTCCAAGCCATTTGTGCACGTGATAACAGTGGGTCTGGTAACAGTGAAAAAAGTAACTAAAAAAGGAAGGAGGAGGGGAAAAAAAAAAATAAAGAGGGGGGAAAAAAAAAAAGGCTCTGGAGTCAGTTTGTGGAAACAGTCAGGGCCCAGAAGCCGTTTATTTCAGAACCTGGTATTGTGAACATCAAAAACTGGGTATCTTAGTGTTTACAATGATCACAGCATTACTAGACAGTTTGGCACAACTCTGCTACAAAGGTACTTTAAAAATAAATAAATAGAAGCTTAAAGAAGAGTATTACATGGTATGAGACTGTACACTGTCCTGAAGAAACATCTCCTGCCAGCAGAGCTTCCCCTCCTCTATCCCAACACCTCCCTCTTTATCCAAAGACAACACAGTATGTAGGTGCCTTTTTAATTCACATTTTAACCAGAGATGCTACATCACCCCAGGGATAGAGGGAGACATGGAAGAGCATGGCTCAGGTCAGACTACAGGGCTGCAGATGGGCCCACTCCTACTATCAGATAATTCAGTACCTGCAGGAAGAAGGTAAGATGCAGTCATAGGCAGCTTGCTGTACGTGCCCAGGTTCATCTGCCTGGAGGCAGCCAGGGAACCACATGTCATGGGGTAAAATGTTTCCTCTGGACTTAAGGTCCCATCATAATTCAGCTATGAGTTATCCATGCAAAACTGCACTATTTTCTCCTGGCAGCATGGGTGCTGCTGCCCAAGACTGCAGAATGAGCTCACCATTGCCTTACTGCTGGCTGCGAGGTGAGTCTCTGTGAGCTGACACGCAGTCACTTGTCTGATCTGCTGCACCACCTCAGTCAGTGCCAGAATCTGTGCCTCCAGTCAAGTTGACAGAATCAGGAGTAACAAGCAGTACAGTGAATAAAAACCAGGCATGGGGAGAGGGGAGAATAATACTTAAAAAGGGCACAGGTCTCAGACAGATTGATATGTGACTTAGAGAGCTAGAAACTTTAGCTGCCAAGACTGTGTTTTCTCCTACATGTTGCCCTGCTTTGGATGAAAAAGAAGGGTTAAGTTAGAGCACGAAGTGCTCCAGCTGCCAGGTCCTGCACTAATACCTTCTAGAGTACAGACAGATGTTTGGCATCAGCCTTGCCTCCCCTCCTAGCTGGTGGCACTAAGGTGTGTGTGGGGGGGGTGTATACACACACCTCATACCTAAAAAAATTCAGACTCACTGGCATGACAAAAATGTTCAGAGGACCTCTTCCCTGCCTGCGTACTGGACAGCTTTGGTCCCACACGAGGCTTTCCAGGGGATGACTCAAGGACACGTCAGGACTGAGTACTGCCCCTTTCACATGAGAGTGTGGGTCGTGGCTCTGAGAGGCCCCACAGGTACTTGCAGGGGACGGCACACATGGAATCAGCTGGCAGGTTCTATGTGACAGCACACAGTTTCAACAGCATCTCTTCAAAAACCAAAGCAAAGCCATGTATCACAGCTCCTTGCTTTCATGAGTGGAGTTAGTCTGGAGCGATCATCTGGCTATTAATTATATTAATTTTTATAAGACTGTAAATAATTTGTCCACAATACATCAATACATACTTTCTATAGTATCTAAGTATGATTATTAGCTTCACATAATTTCAGCGTACTTGAAAAATACTCATAAAAGTAAAATAAAACACCACTACACCATTTATTATATTCCCCTCATGTCCTCACCTTTGGACACACCCAAGCTCAGGTCACTAGGGCATGCAAAGCATAGATGTAGGAAAGGAGGAGTTAATAGGAAGGAAATAATGGGATATAAATACAGCATATTTAGGATTGTAAAGGGCCACAGAGGCGTCAGTTTGCATGCACTGATGTCAGTGAGGGCTTCAGGAAGACCAGAAGCAGCAGAGATGCTTGCTTGCTAGCTCTGGGTTC